GGTTTTCCTGGGGTAGGTATGATACAAGCAAAAGAAAGGGTACGAAAGATGGCACGGGGTCGGGAAGTGGTTCGTCACATATGTGACGCGCAGGGGGTTCCAAAATTATGTGATCTCCCGATTGCATGGAATGGCGAAAGAAAGAGGGGAGAACAGAGTGATGCATGAGGACCCAAGCGTATCAACAGAGCAGAAAGAACTACAAGGAACGATAACTGGGTCGTGGATGAGATGGCGAAAACATCCGTGGCAAGATTTCCGCAGCCCTGTCATATGCAACCCTCTGCCCCGTGGAGATCGTCTAGGTGACGCCATCATGGTCCACCTGATCTCCGTGTGCTCTACACCCTTGCTCGTTGCCGTCTATCGAATCAGCGCGTAGGTTGACGTCATCGTTGATGGCGCTATCTTCGCGAAGCTTACCGATTCGTGACGATGAAGGGAGGGGGGGGGGGTTTCAAGTGAATGGGATCTACCGCCTCGCTGTAATAGGCCAGTAGAGGCGGTACATGTCGGGGATCTCGCGGGGATGTCGGGAGGGGAGTGGGGGTAGGAAGCGATGCATCCCTTCCATCATCCGGGAGCTCCTCATATCGGATGATTCGGTGGAAGCGGGGGAAATGACCGCCACTGCGGGGAAGGGAGGCGAGGTAGTCGCGATAGAAGGAGGAGAGGGTGCGGAAGAGCGCCGCTCGAAAGATCTCGAAGTGGCGACAGGCGGGGATTGTCCCCGTGGCAACGCACTAGACTTGTACGACGTTGGATTGCTCCCATGCAGCGCTGAACAGCAGAAGATGCTAGCAGAATGTGGGAGCAGCGGACTGAAGGGAGGTGTGAGGATGGACGGTGGCGAGTAGACGGGTAGAATAGAAGTCGCGGAAGAGATGGGGATGAAAAGGATGGGAAGGAAAGGTGACAGGGTACGGATCTGCTCGAGGGTGAGAAAATCAAGGGGGCGGCGGGGCAGCGTCCGAGGTCGAAGGCCTATCGCCCGCATTGGTACATGGGCAAACTGGGGGACGGGTGGGGCTAGAGGAGGAGGGGGATCGGCGTCATCTCCGTCACGGGGTACTTGAGGTGGCGGCTGCAGGGTCGCCATCTTCTTCTTCGTCGTCGTCGATCACCACTTCCTCTGCCCTCGGATAAAAGGCGTAAGGGATGATCTCGTACAGCTTTAGATACTCCTGTTGCGATGGTAGGGTATCCTCGTCCCTAGGTTCCTCCAAGCACGAAGTCCACTGAAGGTACGGATCCAAGGATCGCTCGAAAATGTACGGAGCGGGACTGTTGTCGCTTTGAAAGTAGATGTTGGGCGAGAGATCGTCCGCCAATTGCACTATCGGTGCGATGAGCTCTTGTGCAATCAACTGACGGCGACCCGGTCGTACCGACCCAAAGAGGAATCCAATAAGATCTCCTTCCACTTTAGTCCTCCAAACTTGTATGATCAGCAGCTCCGGCTTCTCGATCCACGTGGGGTGCTCGTTAGTGCCCGTCCACTTCACTTGTACTCTGGCCATGCAAAAGGAGAGCTCCTCAAAAGTTTCGCGCCACAATCGCCAATGTCCAAGATGGATCAGAGGGACAAAAAGAGGTTCGAACGAGAGGGAAAGAGAAGGGTGAAGATCGGATTGCCAGAAGGTGGGAAAGAGAGAGGGGAGACCAAAGGTAGAGAGAGGAGCGAGACGAGCAGCGTGGTTCATTGGGGACGGGGGAAGGGGACGAGGGTTGGGATCGCCACTGCCCGCTTGCGCGGTAATCGGCAAATGTCGTCAAGGTCCGATGCAAAGATCGGGATGATGTTATACCCCTCCCGGGCGAGGACGTGCTGCCACGCGTTGGACACTTGCTCCGTCCACTTGCGCAGCGAGACCAAGATCGCGGTATGCCACAGCGGATTGACCGAGCTGATGTCGCCGGTGAATCCCGCCACTGTGGTGACATGGCTCGTTCTGGAAACCGCTCGTCGATGAACTGCAGGAACCTCCGCGAACACTATCGCATGAGGGCTTCCTTCTATCCGAAACGCGGCGGCGGCACAGATACCTTCGTCGCAGAAAAATCGCATCAAACGGCGGAGATCCGTATTGAGCCGAGGGTGACAAACTTGCCGGATCTCTGAGATGTGGCCACGTGGCTGTCGCAGTTGTGCGTCGAGAACCCGCTCCGTGACGAAACTCATGGCGAGGTCGGAGAGGAGGACGAGGGACAAGAGGGAGAAAGAGGAGAGAGGGTTAGATCGTCGTTGTTTCCCTCGCTTCCCGAGGAAGAAAAGGGAGGAAAATCGGAAGGAGGAAGAAGACGGAGGTAGGAGGTATGTCTGACGATGGGGACGGAGCTATGGCTAGCGCTAGCCTCAGGCACGATGCGTACCATGTTGGCGCCGTTGGGCCCGAGTTCGACAACGCGAAAACAGTCGGAGAACTTGGGAGCGAGTTTTCGGTCGCGTGCACATTTACATACCTGCACTAGGTCCCCCAGTTTATACTGGTACTGGGGCCCAACATTTCCATTTCGGGCCTCGTAGCGACGGACCTGTCTACCGTGGGCCAGCTCGTTCATCCTTTGTCTTTTTCGGGCCAGCTTCGGAACGGCCCGTTCCATCAAATTAGTGTACCTTTTGAACTTAGCCTTGAGGGCCGCACGTGTGTCTCTACCCCCTGCTTTGGCAATTTCCGAGTTGGCCCGTTAATCGACACAGGGGAGGCTATTAGTTCAAAGCTGAAAGGGGGTGAACCCCGTAGACTCGTGAGGGCTGGCCCGGTGGATGCCGACGATCTGATATACGATCTCGGGCCACGAACGCGTGTCGTGTGCCGCTAAGTTCCTGCGAAGGGCGGTTTTAATCATACGATTGGCATTCTCGGCCAACCCGTTCGACTGGGACACGTCGGATGCCGTATGTCGGAGCGCGACGCCCCTTCGCGCAAGCAGTTCTTCTACCTCGCCCTTGAATTCCGACCCATTGTTAGTTAGAATTTCTTATGTATCTAGATGGGTATAGAGGAATCGTTCAATGTACGTGGCTATTTCTGCGGCCTTTCGGGTCTTACTGGGATAAACTTCGATGTATTTGGAAAAATGGTCAATTAAAACCAACAGGATAAGAGTATTCACAGCGGTTCGGGCCAGGTGGCACGTCAATATCTGTCGTGTCCATACTGACTCGCTGAAAGGGACGCTCTACTTTCGTTGGCACGATCGTGTTTGGTCCCCGTATGGGGGCGCGATCAGCGGCACAAACCAGGCAGTTAGCGATAATGTATTTGACATCATTTCGTATATTGGACCAGAACCATCGATTTTGGTCTACAGTTGCCTCCGTGATACATATCGCGAAATGAGCGGCCTGTCCTTCGTGAGCAGATCGGATCCAATCGTATCTCTGGAATGGATGGGGAACTGTCGACCACGAACCCGACCCATCAGTTTTACGCTTTTCCAAATGACCGTTGATCCATCTATAGTCCCGAGATCTCTCGGTTGCCCTACGTCTGCCGTGTTTGGTGAGGTGGCCCAACGATAATCCCGCTAATTTTGCTAATAAAATTTTATCCGTCCAAACCTCCGCTTGTCGGTATTTTTCGTCGTATTCAGGGCCGTCTGTACGGGCTGCCTCGAATCAAACCTCCATGGGGAGCTTGTTCGTTCTACACAGGGGGCACCTCCATTCCTTGCTTTTCGTCCGATATCAAACGCAGGCCCCGTGCGCACGGTTGACACACGTGGCACATTCTACCCAATTGACAAATCCGGTCTCGAAGGAATGACAGTCGACCCCATAAACTCATGCAATACACATGCAAAAATAGCAGAATTTATCGGGAAGGGTGGCGAAGAAAGCCGAGGAAGTGAGAGGGGCAGAATTAGTAGGAGAAGAAGGGGTTGAGGAGGCAGGCGGGGTAGTCATGATGACAGAAGGCGAGAGACATGACTGAATGGTGGAGAGAGTAGAGCAGGCAAATTAGTCCTCTTGTTACTTACTGCTTCGATAAGATCTCCACTTGGCCATACCGAGGCCCGATCTCCTGTTCGGGTTCGTTCCATGGAATTACCTCCTCACCTTTTGGAACCTTCTCAGGCCGGTGCAGTCGTGTCAGTCCGTCCGCATTCCCGTGTCTCTCGTGCTTTCAATGACGAATGTCGAAGTCCATGCTCTGCAACACCGTTGCCCATCGCCCGATCATGCCCGAGTAATCCTTCGACTTCTTCAGAGCCAACAGGGGCTCATGATCAGTCACCAGGGTGAATTTTCCCCCGTACAGGTAAGCACGGAAGTGACTGATTCCCCAGAGAGCCGCGTAGCATTCTCCCGTCGGAGCGGCGTAGTTGCCCTTGCAGGCGGGKACTGATTTGGACGCATACTCTACCACACTCTCGAGTCCGCTTGGTCCCACCTGGGCAAGGATCGCCGAAATCGCCTCTGGCTGCCAGTCGGTGATGAGAACAAAAGGCTTTTTGGGATCTGGTCTTATAAGGATCGGAGCCGAAATGAGAGCAGCCTTGAGTTTGGAAAACGCTTGATCGCACTCCGGCGTCCAGATCAACGGCTGATCCTTTCGCAAGAGATTTGTGAGGGGTCCCGCAGTCGCCGCGAAGCCCTTGATAAATCTTCGGTAATACGAGGCTATGCCTAAAAAGGCGCGAACTTGCGTGACAGTGGTAGGTACTGGCGCGTCCCTGACAGCTGCCACCTTCTGCGGCTCCGGTTGGAGTCCCTTGTCTGTCACCACGTGCCCCAGGAAAGAAATGGTGGTGAGGAAAAACTGACACTTCTCAAGCGCCACCTTGAAACCTGCATCTCGTAACGCATGTAGTGCCCATTCGATGTGTTGCACGTGTCCCTCGTAGGAGCTCGAATACACTAGGATGTCATCCATGTACACAATCACGCAGTAGTTGATGATGCTTTGCGCTAGACGAGTCTTCCGTACGAAATTCTGAAAAGCCATGTTCATGGCCCACTGAAAAGTCGTAGGGGCGTTGCAGATACCCATCGAACATTGAATCCATTGCCACGTACCTTCGAAAAGCACAAACGCTGTTTTCGGTCGATCTCCCTCCCGGACAAGAAGATGATGGAACCCATGACGAACATCAAACTTGGTGAAAAATTGAGCACCCCCAATCGCATCCAATAACTCATCAATCCGAGGGAGGGGATACACATATTTAATCGTGATATCATTCAATTTTCGATAATCAATGCAAATGCGAATCCGTCCGACCTTTTTATGTACAATTACTACGGGAAAAGACCACGGACCTATGGCAGGTTCGATCCATCCATTAGCTTCAAACTCCTTAATCCTCTGAAAAGCGGCCGCTCTTTGAGCTCGCGAGTATCGATAGGGAGCGCAGCTAATGGGCGGATGATCTCCTGTGAGGATGGCATGCTCAATCACATTAGTTAAGCCGATATCATTATCGTGCACGCTCAGTACTTCTGCGTAACCATTTAACACACGGATTAATAACTTCCGGAGTTCCGTAGGAACATGACTCGGGAGGGGGATTGTTGATTCCCCGGAAATCTTGAGGGCCATATCGACCCAATCAATCGGCTGTTTCCGCCGGTCACCGACACTAGAGAAAACAGAACTACTGGTGCGAACTGAAAAGACAGTTGCTATCATCTGGGACTCAGCGGGGCTGATCATCTCCGTTTCTTTAGTTTCAACGTCGGTCTCTGAGCCAACCGAAGTTGGTTCCACAGCTAGCCCTGTTAGATCCGTCATTTCTTGCATCAGATTAGGCACGTCACTTACCGGTGTTTCCGCCTCTTGTTTAATCAAGGCGATGGTAGCTCCTGTCGTTAGTAACGATCGTGGCGGAAAAACAGAGACATCCAGATACTTTTCCGTTTGTTGATAACGCGTTCGTAAGGAAAGAGCTCCCTCGTACAATGTGCGAGGGGGTTCCAAATCATCAACCAGGTCGAAAACTTGCAATATGGGTTCTCCGAGGAGGACTGAAGGACTGACCTGGGTTGTTAGAGGCGTGAATGCATTSTCCTGGRAATCTACGTGGAAGCTTCGGGTGGTGTYGGGGCACACTTGAAACTCTTCGGGGATTTCATGTTCGAAAAGTTCAACCAKATGCTTYCATTCTTCTTCGCTAGGCATCTCTTCTTCATGTTCTTGTTCCCTGATTTCATCCCCGAGGCGCGAGGGAGAGCATKYATCGGGATCAATGTATCGGATCATCCCTATTTGGGGAGAGTTAGGAACCCGTTTTATCGTTCGGGTGAAAACCCGCAGAGGAACAGCCTGAGGCTTTCCCCCAATTTGTGTGAGCACCAATTGTTTCGAATCGAAATGCAGACGTGTGCCCACCGCCATCGCCCAAGGTAATCCCAACAACACAGAATCGGATCGTACATCTATTACGAGCGCGTTAACAAGGACGTGTACTCGTCCAACTTTTACGGCCACATTCTCGATAATGCCTACGATGTTCATTGCTTCCTCGTCGGCAGAGACATAATTGTCTTTGCCAAATTGAGGAAGAATGGATCCCAGTCGTCCCGTCTTTTTGACACTATCCAATGATATGGCCAAGGCAGAAGACCATGCGTCAATAAGGGCATCAAACGGTTTGCCCCATACTTCACAGTCACATTCCGCACTTTTCCATAGCACCGGCCGAGCTTGTACGAAGTGATCTTTTTCTGCTAAAGAGATCGCTGCTATACGTGCGGCTTCAGGTTCCGGCTTTTTCGTGTCACGCACAGGGGGTACGACTTCCTCGCTTTCTTCTTTCTTCTTCAACATCCGTTGTATGCGTTGATAAGTGAAACGTTTTTTATTTTTTTGGCATTGTTGTAGAAGCTTATCGTTCGCCACTTCAGATATGGTGAGCATATGTCCCACTGGGACGGGCACGCGAATGTCTAACTGCTTGAGTGTTCTCAGTACGTCAATATCTCCTGTCCGAAACTGCGGTCCTGGATTGGATTCGCGATCGACCCACTCGAGATCATCTGGGACTGATCGGATCGCTCCGATCATGCCTGCGAGATGGAGATACTCGAGAGGATCGACCACTTCAGCAGCGTCGGGGGAAGAAGCTCCCGATGTCGATGTCGTTGCCATCGAAGGGGAGGGTTGTTCTGTGGCATATGCCACAAGTTCCCTTCCTTGATCCGTATCCATCAGAGCGCCCACTCGTCCCTGATTAAGGGCGACGGTGGCCGCCGTAGGGGGAGGCTGATTACGTTTCGGCTGCGGACATTCCCGGGCGAAATGCCCGGGCTGCTTGCAGTTAAAGCATTCGATCTTCCCTGCTGGATTAGCTAGATGAGGGAACTGAGGCGAGGACCCTGGAGCAGCTGGGGCAGGTAAGAGTGGAAACGATGCAGGGGCAGGCCGAGCAGGAGCTGGGTTAGGCTTAATGAGCCTGCTCATTATCTGTTCCATCCGCTCCATATGAGCCGCCTGCAGTTGGATCAGGTTACTCATCCATTCGGACTGCTTAGTAGTGGCCGTATGGATCATCTGGGCAAGATGCAAATTGGTTATGGCTGGCAAGGGGGGTTCGGATGGGGTTCCGCTTCTAACGGTTGCGATTGATTGATTCACCTGAGGAGAGGGAGGGGAAGCAGCCGAGATATCGGAGACGATTCCGCCGGGAAGGTCATGATCGGGCGGGGATAAAACCGTTCGACTGGTTGTAGCCATGATCGCCTCTTGGCCGTTACATCCCGTATGGTATCTGTAATATCCTCGTCTCCCTGGCTGATATATTTTTTTGTATCAGCCAAGTCTAACTCCAACGCTTTAATGATGATAGCCGATAACTGGGTTGTTTTCGGCGGAACCTTTTTCTGCAGTTTCCCTTTCAAGGTCGGACTTTGAAGGTGATCAATAAACAAGTCTCGAGCGGAATTCTCGTCTCGCCCGGATTTATCCAACGTGGTTTGAAATCGATCGACGAAATCGGGCAATAATTCCTTTGGTCCTTGCGGTCGATTTTTGAGTACATACCATGCCGCATCCTCACTAACCGTATCGAATCAAGCCAAGAATGCTCGCTTGAAAGTATCCCAATCTACCCATGTATGTTTTCTAAGCCAGTCATGTGATGTGTTGCAAAGTAGTAATATCAAAACACGGGGAAGATCGGTTGTGCAATAGTTTTGAGCTTCGACAGCTTCCAGCCAAGCCTCGGGATGGGTATGGTTAGGGAAGAAGGGAAAAGGGGCAGGGATGCTAACGATCACCCTAGTACCGTCCACCATTGGTATTGCTGGTGCAGCCATACTAGACTGAGACCTGGTTACGGGGCGATCTCGACGAGCTAGTTGAGGGTCTCTCCTACCTTTCGCCAGCTCGACTTACTATCATTAGAAAAGATACTTGTCGGCTCCGATACCAACCTCACTCCCTGTGCTGTCTTCCGTTCGGAGTGTTAGCTGTGCGGAAAAGAGGCCCAGAAAAACAGCAAGATGGCGTGTGCCAAGGATTTTTGAAAATTGAGTGTGGGGACACAGACGGAACTGAAATCCCCCGTGTTGGTCCGATGGAGCAAGCCGATCGTTTCGCGCGTCGCAAAAGGCGCGCGCGGACACGACGCGAAAACAAAAAGATTCAAATTCAATCCAAAAAGTATTGTCGGGCTTCCCACCGAGCTACAGCCCGTCATTTAGAACGGAAATGCTCTGGCACGCTTCGCGTGTCTCGTTTTCGTACCAGATCTCGTTTTCGTTCGCTGGTCAGTTCCGAATCCGACGTGGATGGTCTCAGCCGAGTGGCTCTTTACTTATGCTCGTCCTCACTCCGTATTCGGTAGTGGAAGCCCTTCGCTTCGTAGTGATCAAAACGCTGATATTCGGTGCACAGAGTGCGCGGCCAGTGGGGTTCTACTGCCATCCACGGAATGACGATTAACTCGTTAAATGGCAACAATACCGAGTAAGGTGGG